TTTGAATCTACAAGTATGGAACTGTAATATCCGCCTGTAATGGTCATAAAATCTTGCGGTGATGGCATCGAAACCTGTTGTTGTGGCATCTAAAATGGAGAAGGTGGCGACTGGAACAATTGTGGAACCATTTGAAATGGCTACATCCCTATCTAGAACGACTGCGTAATATAACATGGTGTAGATTGTGGCTGATGTGATGATTCCAGTACTGCAGCTAAAGAAAATCCAGGAGTGTCTGCTCTCCGTCCATGAGTTGGAGGATAATGCGACTGTGACAGATGATGCCTTTCTCGATGCTGATGAATGCTCCGAGCTTGTGCTTCCTCAAAAAATAGGAACGACTTATCGTTCGTATTGAACCATTGGTAGTAGTCATTCATAAACAATTACTGATACATATAAATCGACTCCCTACGAGAATGCGTCCACATCTATCTTCTCACATCATCACCCACTCGTGTTTCATCAACCAATTGACTTCTTTTTTCCTCGTCTATCGATGTTATACAAATTGTCCAGATTCATAGGTGCTTTTGGAATAGATTGTACGAAACCAAATTGCCAGAGCACGTGATCAGTCGGATGTCACTCGACAATAGCATAAATATCATAGGGACCACCGCCATCCATACATCTAGTGGACCACTCATATTAGATGAGATACAATGCCTCATTTCGTCAGTAGCATAAGGAGTCCATTGAAACTACAACAAATATATATAATTCTTTTCAAAATAATATTTTAATTGTTTAACGATAATTAAAGGTAAATAACAAAATTTAAATATATACCAATGTACCAATTTTTTGATCAATAAGTAGTCGAATTTCTTCTAATTCATCTGATATATCACGATGATATTTCCTTACACGTGATCACCTATTCAGTGTAAAAATATATTTATTATATACTCAAAAAAATTATTTATATGCGAACTTAGTACTAAAATTACATCAGCAATAACAGGAAGACTAATAAGTTCTTCACCATCGAACATAAAAAAGGCATGTGATACCACGTCCATAACTACAAAAGCAGGAGACATCCGCTAATATAATTTTTTCGATACTCAATTTCTCGACACATTTCTCTATACAAAGATGTCAAAACTGCAGAGCCCCAACTGACTAACCTAACAACTCAAAAATCGGTGAAGTGACACAACCACATACAATAAACTTGATTACAAGATTTATCAGGTATCAAGATCCCTCCTATCAGTCGTAATATGCAAGCCCGGGCAACTCTTTTAACATGTTCCTCGTAACAGTCTTCACTCAAATGTTTAACATATGTCACCAACCATGATAACAATATTCGACTACCATTAAAATCAGACGGGATACCTCCAAGATACTCCTTGCACAACAAACTCTAGTTACCATCCGCCACACCCAAAATGACATCCCCATCTACCGACAACCTCAAATGTAAGAAAACATCCTTAAGCGTAATCGTACACTCCCCACATGAAAGATGTAATATGTGTCTATAGTATCCACCTCTCGACCAGTACATAAATAAGATTGCTTTCAAGTTTATAATACCCTTCATATCTAGCTATGTAACTGAATTCAGTCTCCACTAAATATGGCCTGACACGACTTGGTATCTCTAACTTAGCATTACGAATAAATAAGTCTAATATACGGTCATTCTCCTAATTAAATAAATAGTATACAAATTAAAATATAATCTAATATTAAAAAATAAATAAAATATTCACAATAATTAATATAACACAATAATAAAACCAATAAAATTAAATAAATTAAACACAACAATTTGTCTTCCATTTTATAACTGCAAAACATAAAAAAATTAGGCAGTAAAATACAATAAAATAATTAACTATTTAATGATTATAATATAATAACAATAATTTTACCTTCTAAGAATAATAACAGAACCTACTTAAGCTTTGTTAGAATGAGTGATAAGAAGAGATTATTTTCGTTTTGGTGTGATTTGAGGGTTGTATAAAGGGTATTTATAGGGGAAGGGGAAGGGTAATTAAGGCGAACGGTTGGGGGTAATTTTGGAAGGCGTGGATGCTGCATGTCAGAACTCCAGAAAGGCACAGATAGTGATCCGCGCTTTACCCCTACGTGTCGCTAACTTGGACGAACCCCAAGAAGGCACGAATTTTTGTCACGCTATCACAAAAGATGTTAGATCAGTAAAATTAGAACGATGAATGCATAACAGATAATAATTGAATGGTTGGGCGATTTTGGGTAAAAACGCCCTAACAGTACATCACCTTTGAATATAAATGATTGAACATATATATCCACCTGTCAAATATCTAAAGACCAAATAAATTAATAAAGCATAAATTCTGCACTGAATATTGAAAAACCAAAATGCAAAAGAAAAAGCTTTGGAACCAAAAAGCAGAAGAGAAAGCTTACCACTCTCTCCCCACTCCGCCTTGGACGGCTACCATTAAGCTACTTCAAGCCCTCCCAGATCTGAACTCTCACAAGGACTCCACTCCGTCATTACCAGATCTCTGCTTCTTTGATTCTAATTCTTTCCTGCTTTCTTGGTTTGGGTTTTGGATTCTCAAAAGACATGGAGTCGGAGCAGCGTTTGAAGAGGAAGAGGACGTACAGGCCCTACTCCCGAGTTCAGTTTGTCTCTAAGGTCGTTCATATTTTGTCTTTATTTTTTCGTTTTCCTCGTGTTCTTGTCTTCCGAGAGGTTCCCAATCCGAACGGTGTCATTTCACCCAGTTCTCACTGTCCCAGGTCTGTCCAAAAATTCCCTTCATGATTCTTCCCATGGTAAACTACGGTTGCCTTTGAGAGTTGCGGACCGGGTTTTGTTCCCCGATCACTTGCTCTTGCTTGTATCCGACAAGATACATGAGGATGATAAGTTGGACTGTGTTTATCACAAGGCTTTGAAAGGCAAGGATATTGTTCGTCGAAGGGTTTTGTCTGTTGATGAGTTCGATGGGTTTCGATCGGTTGTTAGATGCCTTAATCCTCCCTCGAATTACTCGGCTGCTGTGGGTTTGATGTGGACGGGAGATGATGGGGTTGATGATTATGGTTGGTCTTTCAGGTGTAATCAGACGGTTCATTCATGGGATAGATTGGTTTATGAAGCGGCGTTCGATGGGAAAACCGCATTTGTTTTTGCTAAAGGGTTGAACCTTCGACCGCATAAAGAATCCGATCTGACTAAGTTCATGTGCCAATTTGGTTTGAAGAATATTGATTATGAAGAAGAAGGGTTTGTGGTAATGACTGAAGCAATATTGGTTGCACAAGAGGTTGTTAGGTGTACATTGCCTAGGAGCATAAGAAATAATCTGGATTCTGCCCAGGGAATTCGAGTTACCATCGTACATGACCCAATGCCATCCGCAGTTAGAATTCGTGATTCCAGATCCTATGAGCACGGGAGGAATCAAAGTAGGTATAAGGAGAATGTAGCTATGCCTTCTGTGGCTAAACTATACAATCCAACGTGATGAAAGGGACCATGGGAAATACGTGCTATGCTCTGGAACCAGGCACCAGCACTGCAGGAGTGGATCATGTACATGCCTGGCTTGGAGTTGAACGATGGTTCATTTATGACAATAATAGTGATGATGGAATTCAAGAAGTTGTTGAAGAACTTGATTTTCAAGACTATAATGTTAGCAGACATAACTGGCCATGGATTAAAACTCAAGAGGCGGGGTTTTCGCACTGCACTTTGAGAGCAAGAAATGAGTGTAAATGGGTAGGATTCTTTGACGTCGATGAGTTCTACTACTTCCCTCACCATCATAGGAGAGGTTTACAGGGTCAGAACTTACTACAATCCCTAGTAGCAAATTACTCGTCATCAAGTACGATTGCAGAGATATGAACAGCTTGTCACAGCTTTGGACCGTCCGGATTGAGCTCAACACCATTGCAAGGAGTAACTGTAGGTTACACTTGCCGGCTCCAAAACCCCGAGCGACACAAGTCCATTGTGCGCCCTGATTTGCTTAACGAAACTCTTCTCAATGTGGTGCACCACTTCGAGCTGAAAATAGGATTTAGGTACCTGAATGTGCTGGAAAATTCTATCATAATAAACCACTACAAGTACCAGGTATGGGAGACCTTTAGAGCAAAATTCTTCAGAAGGGTAGCAACTTATGTCGTTGAGTCGCAAGAAAACCAAAACCAAGGGTCCAAAGACAGAGCCCCAGGGCTCGGAACCGAGGCCATTGAACCACCGAATTGGAGAAAACAGTTCTGTGAAGTCTGGGACACCGGTCTGAGAGACTTTGTCCTTGCAAATTTAGCTGATCCTGCCACTGGAAGTTACCCTGGGAGAAGCCTCTTCTGTAGCAATACCAAATATGGTTGCTAACAAGCTTGGTGCCAATGGAAAACAGAGTAATGACATCAACAAAATACATTCTTTCTATTTTTTTTTTTTTGCATTTTTTTTCTGATTTTTTCTTTTAGATACGAGATCAATTGATTATAGGTTCTTAACACGGCTGTAAATTTTGTGATGATGAAATAACATTCCCCCCCCCCCCTTTCATCTCTATGCTAGCTAATGAGTGTGGTATGATGGATTTTTCCTTATAAAGTTTATTTCTGCTAATGTGGTCAATACTACTACATCATCATGTTTTCCCTACAGATACGATGAACTAGACTAGGACACTACTTCAAATAATTCAATGAATTTAAGGGGTACAGTTCAGATAAAAGAACTAGGGCAAGCTCATAATTCTATATTATTAATAAGAATGGGAGATGAACTTGAATGCATGATGTAAAATGTTTCCAATTATCTTGAAGTACAACATAACCACGTTCTCTATATGTTATACAAAGAGTGCATAGATTCATTAGTAACTTCTTCTAAGCTGGAGAACTGAACTACCAATTTTAGAAGTTAAGCAATAAGCGACTAATATTACTTGGACTAGCATGTGAATGTCTCCTGCGGGTGTGTTAAAAATTTTTCTTCTTGAAGTTTCTTTTTAAATACATTTGGAGAGATATTCCTGTAACTATGTCCGGATATGAGTCAGACACAGATGTAAAATGAGCGTACTACCAAAAATGAAGAATATGATCAACAGAGATAAGCAGAGGATATACTCAGTATTCACTCACAGCCTACTGGCACATTCTCTACAGCCGAAAGCATATCATTGCAGGTTTTACGGGAATGCCAAGTTAGCATATGTTTTTTTTTTCCAACTGCATATTCAAGAATGTTTCAATGTCGAGCATCAGAAATTTAGCAATAGCAATATTTTCAGGGGAAAATACAAAATTGAATTATCAATTACATGGCAGCGTGCATGGCCCTGCGTCTGGATATCCTCTACACTTGGCTTCAAGAAACATCGCTGCCTGGGGAAGCAAAACATCTGAAAACAAGAATAAAAATCCTTCATAGTCAGAGTCTGAGGGAGACTAAAATTCACAAAGTAGAGAAAACAAAAAACTTAAATAGCATATTATAGAATCTCAAAAGATGGACCAAAAGAGCATGCAGTTTATGTTTCAGATGTAGTGTTGTTGAGCAGGATCTCTATATTTGAACCAAGGGGTTGCAAATATTGCACTCAGTCCAAATTTATCGCATGCCATCTCACATAGAGAGAATCCAATTTATACCATGGACAGCATTGGTGCAAAGTCGTGAACATTGATACAGGAAAGCATACCAAGCATTACACTGTCATTGAAAGCATGACTGAAACTACAACCAGTCTTTCTACTGTGATATTAATAATTATTTTGGCTAATAATATCTGCAGTTTATACATGGCATGAAAATTGAAAACTCGGAACATGTATCAGGGTGCATCTTACAAAACTTGGAATATAGTTTCATGGAAAAAGTCACTTCCTCTCCTAGAAACCTGGATGGTTTTCACCTAGGTTAAATATCCAGATACCAAATACGATCATATTCTCCTTAAGAATATCATGCTATTATTCTTGTGTTGTATGATATGTGAATAATTACTTTGGTCTTATCAGCAACTAAACAGGGTGTGATACAAGTTAAAGAGTAGATTTGGGTGATTTATAATTTAAGGTAAACGAAGGGCTATATATGATCTTGCATTTTTATCATTGCCGTTTATGAGCAGAACATCCTACATCTATTCAACACTCCAAAAAGAAGTGGGAATGACACCAGATCCATTTCATGTCATTAAGGGTTAATTTTTGTGTGATCAATCAATGTGTCACCAAAATAAATCTTTTAAAAGGAAGAAATGACAAAATACCTTATTTCTATATTCTACAAGTAATGCGTATTATTTTAAAAATGTCTCATAATGTAGAAATGTGAAGATGTAATGGAAACAAAGAACCACCTTAAACAAAGTCTGCAGAAGATAATATGAACAGCAGATCAATGCTCAAAGCTTGATTTACTTCAAACTCACTCTTGCACCACTAATGGCATGTCACTCGAGTATTTTGCAAGCGTGGCATCCAATTTCTCTCCCATGTAACTAATCCATGCCTGAAAATTGAGGAATGTCATCAAGGTCAATAAGATTATCCTTTTTAGGGGGGGGGGGGAATAAAAGAGAACACCCAAGCATAATGCATATGTGCCCCTGATCTTATAGCATAGTTTGAATTCCCCATCCACCAAATAAAAGAAAAATTAAGAGAAGGCAGCAGGTAACGAGTTACCGTAACAGCAATCAGAGTTATTGACTAATTGGCAAGACTGTCTTAGAAATTGCGAAAATATTTTATCCACAAGAGTCAAAGTTCAGTGAAAAAAGCTCTTGCATCTCTAAGAAAAAAGAAGGGCAATATGTATAGCTTAAAACTCAGCATCTTTTGGAGACGAGAATGACTTCAAAAAAAATGAAGCATCTGCTATTCAGATCTAGAGAATAATAAATGGACTACATTAAGAAATTGAAAAAATAAATGACCAGCAATCAAGTGAAGATTTCAATTCTGCAAATAAAAAAAGGAAAGAAAAAAGAAAAATGAACCCCCTCCTCCCGGCCCCTTCCTTTCTTTCAGAAAAGAAAGCTAAGAGCAACTAAATGAAATAAGATATGGCATAAAAAACTGCATTATCAGCCTGCTTGATACTAACAAGAGATGGGATAGCTGTCACCACTGATAAATAAAGCACCTGGTCAGAAGTTGTAAAACCCCTAATTGTGTCCCCGCCAAGAATCGCAATGCCTCTATCTCCCAATGGTTGCAAAATCACTGCCTAGTAAAGTGAAAATAATATAAGTCCTTTGATCTTTACATACACACATAAAATTATGAAATGGCAGGGGAAAGTTGATAATGCTATCTTCCTTAAGTTGTGTAGGAACAACCTTTTACTTCTTGTTCTTCCTCTTTTTTTTTTTTTTGATAGGAATAGAATGCCTCTTTAAAAACCTCCCTCTTAGTAGACCCTTGTCCATAGGCAAGAACCAACTAGGTGAAGGAGGAAAAGAGTACATAATTTTATTAAATATAAAACTTTTACATAAAACTTAAGAACTCTCCAGCCAAATACTACCGACATAAAACACTCCTGACACACTATTCCTCTAAAGCATACAAACCAACTAAATCCATGACTACAATCACCCAATTCCCTCCTTCGCTAACTTGTCAGCTTCACAATTACAACTCCTAGGAATCCACCTGACAATAGCATGAATTAAAGAAACAGAAGCCACAATTTCCTTAACAAAATTAGACAGAAAAACCGAGGCAGAAACTTGATTAATGATCCAATCCACTGCTGTCTTTGAGTCACATTCGATAATAAGCCTGCCCTTCAACACCCAATCTGAAGAAACAAAGATGTCAATGTCTTTTTTGATAGCTTTAAGTTCTGCTAGAATAGGTGTGGTAGGCCCGACACTTTCAGAGAATGAAAGAAGAGTAACCCGATTCCAATCCCTGAGAATTCCTCCTATACCAGCCATCATCCCAACACAGCAAACAGCCCCATCCACATTCATCTTAAAATAGTCCACCGGAGGAGGATTCCAGCAGTACACAATGCTGTTCAGAACCTTAGGAGCAGAAAAATTGTCAGCCAAAGAGGGATCACCAATTAGAGAGTCTACCTGAATAGAAAATAGGGGATACTTTGCTAAAAACCATTTGGCTAACCTTAAACGAACTGTGAAAAACAGTAAAATTCTGTCTAGTTTTCCTTCTTCAAAAATTAACTCATTTCTCATTTTCCAAATTGACCAAAAAACAGCCCCTGGAATAAACTTCCAAATAGCAAAATTAGGCCTCAAAGCAGCCCACGAACAGAGCAGACTAGGAGGGTCTTGTGGAATAGCTAACTGAATACCCCAGTACCCTAAAAGCTTAGTCCACAAATCCCAAGAAACAAAACAAGAAATAAATAAATGCTGAACTGATTCATCCCTTTGATTACAAAAAGGGCAGAGAGTGTTTTCCCCTAAATGAACCCCTCTTTTCAACAGTTCCACTCTCACTGCAACTTTTTGGTGGGATAGTTGCCAAAGGAAAGTCTCCACTCTAGGGGGAACTAAACCCTGCCAAACACACTTATTCCATTGAAAAGAATCATCAAGAGAAGAAGAAAGAACTCTCCTACAAGCTTTAACTGAAAACAGACCCTCACCCGAACCATCCCACAACAAACAATCCTCCAAATGCTCCAAAAGATTAATGTTTTTAAGCATATCCAGTAACTCTGCCAACTGCTCAATCTCCCAATCACAAAGACTCCTTCTCGTCTGAATATTTCATCCCCATCCATTCGAATCAAAACTACCAAAATCCACTACAATACCCAATTTATTTGTAGAAAGAGCAAATATCCTCGGGAAAAGCAGTTTCAAAGGGAACTCCCCAATCCATAAATCGCTCCAAAAAGAAATTGATTTGCCATTACCAATTTGAAGCTTAGCATGAGATCGGAAACAACCACCAATAGCATCATCCTTAATAAAATTATTCACAATTCCCCTCTATATCCAAGAGTCTTTTGGAGAAAGGACCTTAGAAATATCCATGGAATGACAGCTCACATCGTGTTTGCTACATAAGAAATTCTTCCACAACGAATTTTTATCATTAGCAAATTTCCATACCCATTTTCCCAGCAGCGCTCGGTTTGTTAGATTCAAATCAGCAACACCCAAGCCTCCTCCACTCAACGGCCTGCAAATAGTATCCCACCTCACCCAATGCATTCTCTTCTTTTCGACCCCTCCTCCCCATAAAAAATTCGACATCAAGGAATTTAACCGATGACAGACAGTAGAGGGAAACTTAAAAATGGATAGGAAAAAAATAGGGAGAGATGATAAAACAGACTTGATTAGCACCAATCGGCTAGCCATAGATAACGAAATAGCTTTCCAACCTGCCAACTTCTTCGAAAAACTGTCAATCACCGGATCCCACAACTTCTCTGAATTCTTTGACGCCCCCAACGGAAGTCCAAGATAAACCGATGGAAATGTACTTATAGAACATCCAATCTCCCTAGCCCAATCTTCAAGGATATCATTCTCCACATTAATACCAAAAAGTTTGCTCTTAGCTAAATTAATATGCAGTCCCGAAATCAAGCTGAAAATCCTCAAAACTCTACTAACATTCTTAATCTGGGTAATAGAAGCTTGGCAGAAAATAATTAAATCATCTGCAAACTGAAGATGGGACAACAAAAATGAGGAATGATTCTTGCCAAAAGAAAACCCTTGAAAGAGACCCGAATCCACTGCTTTAGACAACATCAGATGAAGAAGTTCCCCAACCACATTAAACAGCAAAGGAGAAAGGCTACACCCTTGCCTTAAACCTTTTGAAATGGGAAACTCTTCTGTAGGAGACCCGTTCACTAAAACCAATATTGAAGCAGTCGAAATACACTGGTTAATCCAAGAGCACCACCTCTCACCAAAAGCCATATCTTTCATTAACCTTAGAAGAATTTTCCATTCAACTGTATCATATGCTCTGCTGAAATCCACTTTAAAAACAACCCCTTGAAGCCCTTGTTTCCTCCAAAAATCGAAACCTTCATTAGCTAAACAAACACAGTCCATCAATTGCCTACCCGGAATAAAAGCAAACTGTGTAGGACTGATAATATCCTTGACACAAGATATCAGTCTCTTTGAAAGGACTTTAGAGAGAATTTTATATAGGCTTCCCACAAGACTAATAGGTCTGTAGTCTTCAATACACTCCGGATTACATTTCTTAGGGATCAAGGTAATAAAGGCATGATTTACTCCATGAGACCAATCCTTCCCATAATAGAAATCTGAAAAAAACTCCATAATCTGCTCCTTGAGATCTTTCCAATATTTATTGTAAAACCCCAAGGTAAAACCATCTGGACCAGGAGCTTTTGAGCTATCAGAAGACGAAATTGCATGCCACACTTCTTGCTCTGAAAATTCCTCCTCCAAAAAAGCACATTGGGTTGCTGTTAACTTCAGAAAATCAAAATTTAGGCCCTCTACCTCCAAGGCTGAAATATTCGAATAAGCAGTCTTGAAATAATTAAGCACACTGCCTCTTAATTTTCTCGGATCCGAGACTAATTCCCCTTCTACTTTCAATGAATGGATAGAATTGACTCTATTCCGTTTCATAGCACTAAGGTGAAAGAACCTCGTGTTTTTGTCACCTTCTTTGAGCCATCTATTTCTTGATTTTTGGCACCAAATACTCTCCTCTATCCTTAGCAACCTCCATAACTCCTTCCTGAATTCAACCACCTGACCCCTCTCCACCGATGACAACCTGCCTCCTTGCGACTTTAAATCCATGTCAAAAATCTTCATTTCAAGAGACGAGATAGATTCTGCCAGCCCTAAATAACTACTGCCTGACCATCTTCTTATCTTCTTTTTTGCAGCTTGTAACAACCTGAAAATACCACCACTATTTACCTTCTTCTTCTCTACTGCCACAAAATCTGTAACCAATTCATCAAAACCTTGATCCTCTAAAAGATAATTGAAGAACCTAAAAGGTTTAGGGCCCCAATTAAGACAAAAATCTTCCAGCAATACTGGATGATGATCTGAAATTGATTGCGGTAAAAGGCTTTGCGAAATCTGAGGAAAACTGTCAAGAAAACTTCCACAAATAAGGAACCGATCTAACCTAACCCATGTAGCCAATTCTCTATTACTACACCAAGTGTAAGATCCTCCTGACATGGGCAAGTCAATAAGATTAGCTTGCTGTACGAAAGATCTAAGAATATTTATTGCATGCCAATTTTGTGATCTCCCTTGTTTTTCATCCGTTTCTAGGTACGCATTAAAATCTCCCCCTATACACAATGGCAGATTCAACGAAACAACAAAATTCAGCAGTTCCCCATAGAATTCCTCCTTTTCAGATTCAATAGCAGGACCATAAACATTAATAAAAACAAACTCCTTTTGACAGTTCATAAAATTCCCCACTAAAGCCAAAAATCTTCTATGAACATGTTGCACAGTGACCTTGAACACATTTTCATTCCACATGCTAATCAAACCACCCTTAGACCCCTGAGCTGGAGATACCAGCACACCCTTTAACAAATTACCTCCTATCCTCCTTAAAATCGAAACATGACATTGCTCCAATTTAGATTCTTGAATAAAAATCATAATCGGTTTTAACTTCTTCACTTGTTTTGCTACTGCTACCGACTTTTCCCTCCTACCTAACCCTCTAATGTTCCACGAAAAAATACTTAATTTAGTCATGAGAAGACTACACTCCCAAAACAACTCACCCTTGCCCGCCAAACCTGCATATCAACCTTCCTTAACATCCTCCGCACCCTTCTGAAGACTTAAGATTTTATCAATGAAAGTCTTCTTCCCCTCCTTGAAAGAAATACCTAATAACTGACAAACTTCCCAAGTGGCCATTGCTTCCTCCACCAACTTTGAGAATTGGGGTGAAAAGACAGTGGAAATATTGACCAAGTCTACAGCTTCCCTGGTAAGAACTCTTCTTTCCCTTCTAATACTTCTTCCTCTCCCTAAATCGGAAAAAGGAACCACTTCCAGACCCTCAGTAATGGCCAAAAAATTATTCTAATTATCAACAGAACCATTGAAAAATTCTTCCTTCCCATTTTCTCTATTATCCGAAGAAAGGTGCTGGAAATTTTCGCCTTCTGAAAAATTCTGATCTAGAGTTGGAATAACCTCTGAACTAATGACCTCAGCCATTTTACTGGTACGAGGCCTAATTCGTCTAACTCTTTTCCTTCTATATACTCTAGCATAGCGACCAATACCCTTTCTTCCTTCATGATCACATCTAACTGTCAAACCAACTGGAACAGGAAAACCCAGTTTCCAGCATTTAGAAACCTTCTCATTGCTTCCAGACTTCTCCTCCTGCAGCACCTTTCCTTCTTCTATCTCACCCGGAACAGAAACTTCAACTTCAAGGACTCCCGCCAATTCCTCCTCAACTAACTTGCTTCTATCCTTCTCACCTGAATCATTGACAGACTTAACTTGCCCACCCTGCTTGAAATTTACTGCCCGCCCAACAAGAATTAATTTAGTGACTGGGGGATAAGAATCCCAATTAGAATCAGATTGGGCTGAAAGAATATGATCCACTTCCCCTCGCAGCCCAAGGCCTGCATAATCCCTTATAGGGTTAGAATCAAATTCAAATTTATCAGACAACCCATTAGTATTGAGTTCCGTGTATGATTTCTTTTTCATAGAAAGTTCCCCATCACTTTCAAACCTCCCACTATCTTGTGTTTGCTGAAGCCACGTGCCCTCCTTTGACCGAACTTCCTCTTCTGATTTTTCCCTGTTGACTTCTTCCTTCTCTGAACTTCCATCTTCTTCCTCCTTCGAAAGAGCAACACCGTAACCATCATCTGAGGCCTTCTGCATCTCTTCCTCTATTACAACTGAAAAATTTGTACACTTCAATCCCGAATTAATTTTAACTTTAAAGGATCTACCATAAGACCCTACATTTGTAAATTCGGGTATGTCAAACGGACTAGCTACCCTTAACAATAATCTCGCTACAGAGAGGTCTACTCTCTTTCTAGTCTCCTCCATGATACTTACGAACTCCCCCCACGTACCTGCAAGTTTCTCCAAGAAAGGTTCAGACCAGCACAGAAAAGGTAATCCGACCAGCTCCACCATGCAATACGCCAAAGGAACACCTTCCTCATTCAACAACGGAGATAACCAATGAAACTAGGAAGACAACTTCTCTCGGCAATTCGACCATGCCTTTACGAACTCTTCATTAGAGTTGAACATAACAATACAATCATTCCGAACATAACCCCAACTTACAATTTTAACCTCGAATCCCTCATTCTGCATAGCCTCTCTCAACATTTCGGGCTTAAAGGGATACTTGATAACCCCTGTTAAAGCATTCTTCACCCAATGTGAATCTTCAGTAGGAATGTGCATATTCCATACATCCCTTAATCCATTTACTTTCTTGTCATGACCTCCCTTCTTTTCCACTAATTCCTGGTCCCTCCTCCCACTGTTATCCACTTCCACTACCTCCTTAAACGATCGGTCATCCCTCAAGCTTCTTGGTTTTTCCATAACCACCTGCTGCTTACCTTTGACCTCTCCAATTGACTTGTTTCCTTCCCTCTGAAATTTTTTCCCATCTAATTCTCTCCTCCTATCCTTCTTATACCTTGCGACCCCCACTGAGACTCTCTTCCCGTCAATCAACGTTCCGTTAACGTTTTGAACTGCTCTTCTTCTACCAGCCTCCAACGCAAATTGCACAAAGGCAAACGTCGATGATTTATAATTCGGTTTAGCTGTAAATTTTGGAATAAAGACCCTCACAACTCTTCCATAATAGTTGAAAATCTCTCTTAACTCACTTCTAGTAACTCTCTTACTAAGATTATCAACAAAAATAGTCCATTCCTCAACGGAGGATGAACGACCTGTCACTCTCTCTCTCTTTCTCTCTCTATCTTTCTCACTCATCATTTCTTCCACTTCAGAGAGCTTTTTGGATGCTTTTTTTTTTAGATGTGCTCACAAGTGTAGACTATTTGTTCTTCCTCTTTTATTTATTTATTTTTATTTTTTTGCTAAGAGAAATAAATACTATTTCCAATCTTATTACTTCTGCTGAAACTTTGGGTGATATTCAACATTACACTTACATTTATAATGCTGTAGGTTAATGCTATTGTTTAGAACCTATGTTCTTAGAGGTTTCGATTGCTCAAGTTATCATATTTAGATAGAATTTAGGTTTTGTATAATATGATGAGGAAACTAGCTCCCTCCTTGTGTTGGGGCAGAGATTCCTGAAGAAAGCTTTTTCGATCCATCTGCCATAAGGCAAGCTATTATTACTCTACTGCAGGTTTGCTCTTAGTTCATTATCCCATTTGCCCAATTGCATTTGCAAGCAATGGAAGATGAAGTGTTAAACATCATGCTGATTTATGCTTTCATTCAATTTAAAAACACATGTTTGCTAACCTTCTTTGAATGTTCAGAATTTGTGTTCTGAAATTTGTCAATTTAAGTTACCATAATATATTTTATTTCTTATTGCTTTATTGTGACTTGTGACTTGTGACTTGTGACTTGTGAGATGATAAGGATGCTTAATTGAGATGTAAATTCAACTTTGATTAAAAACTCGTGCAAGAAGACCTACTTAGAATTAAGTTTGTGAAAAATGAATTAATTTTAAAAAGTTGAATTCTTGATTTTGTCACAATACTTTAATATTTTAAATTAAAAAAAATTGTTCCGTGAAAAAAACAGAAAAGGAAAAGAAGAGTATTTCTATTGTGTATTGAAGAAATTAAAATTCCCCACAGAAAAAAGATCTATAAAGTGCATTAAAGGAATCCTAGCACTCTAGGGCATTTTTTTCTGATAAGAAGAAGCATTTGAGAAAGTATAAAAATGATTAGAGACCTGGGTATTTGAAGGCAGAAATGGCAGCTCAGTCCTTCCGGGGTAAAGAGACAGATTGGCCAGGTAGCTCTCTGCAAAAAATTGAATTGAGTAATGGGAATCCTGTCAAAACCCCTTTCCACACAAATCATTTGAATATTTATGACATAATTTAAATGATTGGAAACCCAGACAGAAGTAACTTACGCGCTCCAGACTTCAAAACACCTTGACATAGTGAACCCTGCATCAGTTTAGCAGCATCCACTGTGATAGGTTCATTATCATTCAGTGATTTAGCAGCCACACCAATTTGAGCAATACACTGGAAGTCATAAACAATAACTAGAGACCTGCAGCATGTTACAGTGGAAAGAGACTCCCATGCCCTGTAAACGAGAAACAACAGCAGTTTTTAATTTCAAAACAGAACACAAGAAATAAATATGTCTGTTGTTTGAATAATCTTTATTTTGAAGTAAAGCAACTTATGTTAACCAATTTAAGATTGTCTCACACAATTGAAAAACAAATAAAAAAACAATGATGCATTAAGTGTTTGTTACCCTTCTTTCAACAGTTTCAAGCAAGCACAGCCACCATCTCCAATATTTTATTACTCCCTTCCTTTGAAATTGAATGTCCATCTTACTAGTTTAGAATGTTTCAAAACAAAGTCAATTTTGCCAAAATGGAAAATACTTTCTAATGCTACCCTTCCTTGAAGTACAAACTTTAGGAGAGCACTCTATTTTTTACAACATGCACAAACAGTTGTATAGTAAAAACAAAACGCCTCATCCCTAAAAGTTTGAGCATCTGAAGATTGGATACTCACTTTGAAATAGAGAAGTGTCTTATTTTTCTCAGAAGAATTGCCATTTAGAGCTCTACTAAATACATAAGTCAAACTACTTATAAAGAAAAGGTAAAAGTGGTTTTCCAGCAGTGCTCTCAATGGTGTTTTATCACAACAAAACATAACTATAAAGAATAGATGAATACTGTTTTGATTTCAACCAGCTTGAATCTAAAGTTCCATGTTATCCAGGCAAAAAGGCCTGAACAAGCAAATTAAACAAAATGCTTATTCAAGTTTTGGGACCATACCGAATTTGGGTACAAACTTGAATTAAGAAACTTTTCATAGGGTAATCTTATGCAACTTCTGAAGTGATGTACTTCATTTTATTTACCGCTGTTCAGAGATATAAAAGTGATTTACTGGAAAGGAACAAAGTTGGTGAATAACACTCAAGCGATAAATGGATTTAAGCCAAATGATCTCTAGCCAGGTATAAAGCCCATGATATGAAACGTCCAAGTACTTGACATTATTCTAGGTTTTCTTAGTTGAAATAAAAATAATACAAATCGGTATACATTAGATAAACTCTCAAAATTTTATGACCCCGCCACTGTAAAGCCATAAACTTATGTTAAACCAAGTAGAAAAAAGTAAAGTGAAGCGAGGAATACCAATGTATCTCAGAAACAACCGATTCAGGAAGGTGAGAATAAATTACTTGACGTTCCACTCCTTGTGGTTCTACCTGATATTAGTAGTCAAGAACACATTATCTAAGGGAGGAAGGTAAATAAACAACCACCCATTGAACTAATCAACTTAATGAAAGTGCCTGAATTTCTTTAGGGATGATCTATCAATACTCTATCATTCAATTTAATATGCAAATGAACATGTCCCTTCCGTGCAAGGAATAAATGAGAAAAGTAAAAAGGTATAGACAGGCCTTTACCGGAATGATAGATTTTGGTCGGATTGATAACCATACTAATCCAGTTAATACATTGGTCACAGCCAGCCCAAGTGTCAATAGATCCGCTCTTGACTGTGAACTGATAGAGGGGGGGGGGGGGGTTAAAAAACACAACCACTTAAGTATCTTGCATTGATGATCACAATGACCTCAAACAGAAATGTTTGAAACATTAGCAGCAAAACCTTGAGATCAAAGAAGAATATTATCTTTAAAAGGCAAATTCTGGTTGTAAAAAACTTATTCAACTACGCACAAATTTCTAAAACTTACAAAATTCAGAATAAAGAAACAAAATTTAGCATAAATTATTTCAAACTCTTCATTTATCTAACTATTTGAAAGCTCTTTTAATACGTGTTTATCTTTCCTTCTGCTTTCAGGGAAAGGGGGTGGGGGTTTCTAAGATTGGTTGAGCAATTAACTCACCCGAAAAGGAAAATTTCCAGTTTTCCACTAAACCAAGCAAAGGATCAATCAAAATTTTAGGTTTAGCCTAAAATTAGTTGCACATTTAATTCAATTAAATAGATAGGAAAAAGTAAAACCTTCTAATCTAGTTTAACTGGAAATATCGGAAACGATTCACGATCAATCTTCCAAAGATAACCTTGAAATATCAATTCTCAGCTCAATTTAAATAATAATAATAATAATATTAATAATAAGGATCCGATTGATGGGTGCTAATACATACCGGTTAAATTACTAGATTTTTTTTATTCAATGGATCATTTTTTTATGAATTCAAGAAAAAAGTAATGCGATATTTTCTTTTATTTTCTATATTAAAACCGGCAAACATTTTCATCATCATCGTGATAATAATAATAATAATAATAACGGATTACCTGCTGGCATCGGCAACGGGAGCAATCCCCGAGATGGCACGGTTAAATAGAATGGCTAACAAAGAGGCTCCTCCGACGTAGATTGGCAAACTCCGAACGGCGTCGTCGTTCTTGGAGACCCAATCGGCGATCCAATCCCTACCAGGCTTTGGTCCTTTGTAGCTTCCCTTCTTTTATTTACAGAAGATGGCGATTAGGTCGTTGATAATTACATTTTGAGATGCAGTTTAAAGAAACTGAGGAAGGGTGGGGGTGAAGATTACCCGCTGAATAGAAGAAGCCCAAATAAAGCGCCGGAAATTAGGAGCACGAGGAGGAGGAGGAGGCGGGAGCACGGAGGTGCATGGAATGCCGATGTGGAGCATACTTACCGCTTCCAATGACTTTAAATTTACAAAAAGACTAACATAATTGCAGAGATGAATCTTATCATCATCAATCCCACACACCGATGACTGTATCTGATTCGTTCCACTTGTCATCCGTGAGGACGACAGTTTTTTCTTCTCCTCCTCCAATTTGCGCGGACTTCTACAACGTCGTCGTTTATATGTTTTTTTAAACATTTTTAAATCGAATAAATTGATAAAAGGGTAAACTACACTAAATGGTCACTAAAGTTTGAGAATGTTTTCATTCTTCCCACTTAAGTTTCAAAAATAACAAATTGGTCATTAATATTATTGATTTATAACAAATCAGTCACTAATGTTATCTATTTATAACAAATTGGTCATTAACTTTATCGATTTGTAATAAATCGACCACTCACCGTTAGTAGCCGTTAACGTGGGTGACGTAATACTGATATGACATGTTAAACTAATTTGTTTAGTAATGTTTGATCAAGATTGACCAACTTTTTAACTCATTCATATCTTTTTTATATTTGTCTTTTCTCTCTCTTTCTCATTCTTTCTCATGTCATTAGAGGTAGAGAAAAGATTGTATGGAAGGAGAGAAAAATCAAACGTTCGATTGTTAATTTAAAGTTATTGGAGACGGAACGGGAACGAGAGCTTTTGAAATTTATATTATATTGATATAGGAATCAAACATAGGTATAAGAATCAACGTTTGATTGTTAATTTAAAACGTTGGTTGTGAATGATGCAATTGTAAAATTTAAAATTTGGGATACAATTGGTCAAGAAATGTACCATAACAAATCAAGTATCTAATGTCTTCACTATTTGTTTTTGTCATTTAACACTAACTGCCTCTTCCATTAATTTTAATATTAGGCCATGAAACATTTAAACTTGGGAAGCACATACTCATGGTCTATTTCCATGGTCTTTGCAACACAATATTACTTAGGTTGTGTGGTTGATGGCTCTATCAAGAATACTATTGTTGATTTTTTTAGGATATTAGTAGAGATGTCAGTGATATATAGTTCCCTTTGTTGTAATGACATTTTTTTTATCTTGTTGTTATTTTTTTTATTTCAAATTTCTTCTTTTTTTCCCCTAGGTAATGGCACTTGTTGGGAACAAAGATGATTTACTTGATGCATGAAAGGTGGCAGCAAAGGTAAGTTATCAGTTTTACTTCTTCATTTTACCTAAAAAATTAGACATTATAATATAACTGTTAATCCCTTGATGCATGAAAGGTGGCAGCAGAGGTAAGTCATTAGTGTTGGCACAAGTGGTTGAGATTCAGGAATTTGAGCTTGTAAGACTAAGTTTGAATCCTACCACCGTCACTCTTGGTGGGCAATCTGTAAATTGCTATGTAAATCATAATTGGATCTTAGGTATGACCTGACCCTGGACTGGAGGAGCCACCCTTGACCTAAACTTTTATGTACCAAAAAAAATAATATAATTGTTAATCAGTAATTGTGTGTTGAAGTAACCACAAAGAAAGATCTAAACCTAGATCTGAAGCAATGAAGCAAATACAACCCAAGAGAGAATGCAAGAGAAGAGGAAGATAAGTGGATGAAATTGTAATTAAATAAAGAACAATAAATAAGATGTTAACCAAACAAAAATAAGATGCATTAACCAAAGATGACAGTTGTACAACATTAAAACAAAATGATGAAATAGAAAAAACCCATACGGCTTCTAGAATTGAAGAGATGAGGAAAATGTGGGCAACAAGGTACGTGACCTAGGCCTCTTACTCTTCTTCAATTTATATAGCCCATATACTTCTATGAGTTAACACTATACGTTTGATCCATCTTGAAGTAACGGGCTTAACCCAAAACAGAAAGTAGTTACACCAACTGAACTAACAACCCAAACAACCAAACTGCTGCCAAAACCTCAACATTCACCTTTTTTTAAACAGCTAACCAAAACATGAAAATAAGTCAGGAAACAGCCACAACATTTAGTTTCTCCCTCAACGTCTGAAACCGAGATAAAGATAGCTTTGGTGAGCACATCTGTAACTTGAATCTGGGCAGGAACACATTTGACTTCTAGAAGTTGACCCGTGACTTTCTCACACACAAAATGAACATCCAGATCTACTGTTTCACTTTAGCGTATAGAACTGGATTGGTTGCCATAGCCACAGTACTAGCATTGTCACACAAGATCGTGGGTTTTTGAATAAGTGTAACATTCATATCAGCCAAAACAACTTTCACCCAAAGCAACTCAGAAGTACCATCAGCGAGACTCCGATACTCAGCCTAGATAATAGAGTGAGATATGGAACATTGTTTTTTCGAGCACTACTCAACAAAGTGACTTCCAAGATAGACACAAAAACCTGAAATAGAGAGACGATCGTCCGGATAGATGCCTCAGCCAGCATCTCTAATAGAAAAAAGCGACAACGAATTAACTTGTGGCTTAATCCACAATCCAAAGTCTAACATGCCCTTAAGATACCAAAGTATACGTTTGACTGCAGACCAGTGAATCTGATATGGCTGCTGCATATACTAGGAGACATTGTGAACAACAAAAGCAATATCAGGTCGGGTATGACACACATATAGAAGAGCTCCCATAACACTTTTGTAAACTTGAGCATCTACAAGCTCTCCACTAGTCTTGCTCAGTTTAGGAGTGACAGGCATAAGCGTCTTAACATTGAGAGCCTGATCCATGTTAAACTTAGCATGAATCTCTTAACATATTTACGCTGATTTAGAAACATGCCTTCCTTCCTATGTTTGGCCTCTATGCCCAGAAAGTAATGAACCAGACCCAAATCTTTCAATGTGAACTTACTATTAAGTTCTCGAATGACCTGCCCAATATGCTCCTCCAAAGATCTTGTAACAAGTATGTCATCAACATATAGAACAACATACGTAATTATGTCAACAGACTTATAAACAAATAAAGAAGTATCTACTCGAGAAGAGACAAAACTCATGAGGCATAAATGTTCACGTAATTTCGTAAACCAATTCCTAGGAGCCTGTCTAAGTCCATATAATGCTTTATTCAATTTACAAACCAATTGTTCTCTACTAGGTCCCACACTTGACTAAAGCATTACCCACATGAGTTGTCTCTAGAACTTCACCCACAGGGACTATCTCTAGAACACCACAAGCTTAACTAGGAAACTTACGAATTGGCATAAATTGCTTACTGGACTTAGCCTGCAAATCATTATTTCTAACAGAAGCAAAGGGAAAGTTAGTCTCATCGAACTTGACATAGCGAGAAACATAAACTCTACCACTATTATCCACATATTGATAACCCCTATACTGAGAAGAATACCCAAGGAAGACACACGACTTTGACCTGTAGTCAAACTTGTGTTGATTATATGGTCTCAAACACGGAAAACATTGATAGCAAAAAACACGCAACATCTTATAGATTGACTACTTACAAAAACAATTTGATAAGGTGATTTACCCCCAAGAACACTTGTAGAAAGCCTGTTAATAAAGAAAACAGCATTTGGAACTACATATGACCAAAAACGAAAAGGAACCGAGGCTTGGGCTATGGCGATGTTTTTTTTCAACTACACCATTTTGAGAAGATGTATGTGGACAAGTGACCTTATGTTAAACCCATGCTACTGCCAAACACGTGTTTAAAGCTCAAAATTCACTACCTCCATCTGTCTGTAAGGTTAATAATCGACATTGAAATTGATTTTTAATCATAGCATAAAATATATTAAACACCTGAACAACATCAGATTTATTATTTAACAAGTAAATCCAACAATGACTGTTGTACATATCAGCAAAAGACACATAGTACTGCTAACTAGCCGATTTGACTGGTGCATGCCTCCAAACATTAACCTCAACCAATTCAAACATTCGAGTATAAATTGTACTATAACTAGAAAAAGGAAGACAGTGACTCTTCCTTAACTGACATGCAGTATACAAAGTGGATACATTCTTAACAAAAGAAATTTTGATAATATTATGAACAATATTAGCAGCTGGATAACCCAAGCACCGATGCCACACCCAGAAATTATTCACAGCATCAAAGCATTGATTATTTGAAGAAGTAGTAGTAGTAACAGAATGAACAAAACTAATAGAGGCAGATGTAGGTTCAAAACAATAGAGACCATCCATCAAATTACCTTCCAACAGAACACTCACAGTGTTTTAATCCTTCACAAAACAATTAGTAGGGTGAAACTCAAAATAGATATTATTATCTATATTTCTAGTAATATGAGGAACACATAGAACATTATTAACTTATAAAGTCTGATACGTAGCAAGAAGAAACACTTTACCAACCAAAGAAATATCAAGAGATGAACCATCACCGAAATGAACATTATCGTTACCTGAGTAACGTTACCCCCTCTGAATTGAAGATTTCTCATAGGTCACATGATGAGTGGCCCCAAAATCTGGAAACCACCGATCTGAGACAGAAAGTACCCCTTTGGCAACCAAAGAATTATTATGAGTAGTATCGCGAAAATCAAACTTAATATCTTCCTCAACCCCTGCATCACTATTAACAAACAAATTATAGCCAGTATCATAATAATCATTTGAAAAATTAAACAAATTCGCTTCGACTTCACTGACAGATTAAGGGCGAGACGCTCCCACCTCTTTGAATTTTTTATCAAAACGATGCCACCAACTGTCAATTAGGTGCCCCAATTTACCACACAGCTGACATTGGTGTCGAGGTCTACCCTTATACTTGTTAATATTCGATGGAGCGCCTCTCCAAATTTTATCATTAACATGAACCTTATTACTTGACCCATCACCAGGATCATGCCTCGCCATGTTGATATTGATAGGTAAATGAATGAACTCCTTAACCCGAGACTTAACCCGAGACTCTGCATCAAGTATTTAACATCCAAAAGTCCAGGTTAGTGACTAAAGTATAAGATTTTAAAACTTCATGTCTAATTTTGAAAATTTGAAAGTTTAGGGACTTAATTAAAATATTTATGTGTAAGATTGAATAGCAAAGAAGGAAGCATGGAAGGTTTCAGGGAGTTTGTTGAAAACATTTTGATGTTTCGATATAACAAATTAAGTGATATTGAATTTTAAGATTTTACAA